AAGTATGGGGTATAAATATAGTAAATAATAAATAAATACAATGTGGTGGAAGCTAAGCTGGAGAGATAGGGTATATCATTGGTGCAGTCAAGTGATGGATATAATTTCTTTAATTTTATTCATGATTTTTTAAATTAAATACAACTTTGTATTTTTTTTAAAATGTGCACAAAAGCCCAAGTAAATAGAAGTGTTAAGTCCAGAAGAGTCCATGCTGTGTGGGTTTGTTATCTGAAGCGAAATGTTAAGGAATAAGCACATTTCAAAATGTTAAACCCACTATCCTTTACACCAGTAGTCTGATTTGAATTCTATCACATTAATCCGTTGTGTATATAGCTGGTGTTGAGGCAGGGGACTTACAGAAAGAAAAAAACCAATACATCTGTTTATCTGACTATGATGTCCATGTATATTTGGACAAGTTATTGACGATCTTGTATAACTGATAAGTCAACAAAATCCAAGCTTTTGTATTTTAGAGGAATTTGGTCTTCTTTTTGTTCCTCATTGCTTATTCTACAGAAAATGAGAAGTCTGTACTCCAGTTTAAAATGAAAAGAGGAAGAAAAGCAGCTCAGCCTTACATTATTACGCCAGGGAATGTAGACAATTGTGTGTGAAAATCGGATTCAGTGAATAATGCATTGTGCTATGCCCTTAGGTAACTAGAAATGGAACAGTCTTTTTCTGTCATAATTTGAAATGCTATTGTTTCGTTTTTCAAGTTTGTTTGTTTGGTTGGTTCATTCTCTTTTTTTCTGTTTTCATGATTATGTAAAAGGAGAAGCTTGAGGGTAGAAAAGAAAACCTTTTTTAAAAAAAGGATATGATGAACTATTTCAAAATGTCAAGATTCTTGGTTTGTTTATATTGTTTGTTCTCTGGCCATCTCTATAAAACTGCAAAGCATGGAGTCTGCACCCAATCCCCGACTGCTCAGGTCCATTAAAGGAAGGAGTTGTTTCCAGTACATATCTGCCACAAGGTGAACTATCCTAGAAGGAACGGCTCTCTTTTCGTATCCTTATATTGTCCTTGAGTCTCAAACACTTTCTGATGGAAGTCAGGGAGCTTCTAGAAAAGTCCTAGTGTGTAGTAGCTATATAGTGAGGGAGAGATTGATGTAAATGCTATTGCACAAGGAAGGACCTATGAAGAATAACAACATATTTTAGTCCCTTACCATGTTTCACAGATTGAGAAAGTAAAGAAGGATCACAAGAGCCATCTAGTTCCACCTATTCAGGAATATAACTCTTCCTGAGTCTATCCAACTTCAGTTTGAATCCTCCAGTGAATTCCAGACCTTCCAAGATTTGAAATCTTTCCAATCAGTCCATTCCATTATTGAACGGCTTAGATTATCATTCCAGATACTTAGTTGCCATTTTCTTTTTCATCATTTGAATCCAGGTCCTGTCCTCAGGAAGTAGCAGAAAGCAAGCTTACTCTACCTTTCACATGATAACCCTTCAGACTTTTAAGGTTGATTGGTATCATTTCACCTCCCCATCATCTGAACTCAAAGTTCAGCATCCATGCAATACGTTAGAAGCTTGACAGTTTTGAATCTGGAATTTAGGCTGGATCTACACTGCCATATAACCCAGTTTCTGAATCCAGATGATCTGCTTTGAACTGGATTATATGAGTCTACACTGCCATATAATCCAGTTCAAAGCAGATAATCTGGATTCAGAAGCTCAATTATATGGCAGAGTAGATAGAACCTTAGTTGTACTTTTTGTCTCCCCTTCAACGTTGTCTATCTGTCTTCCGATATCTGTACTGAGTGAAGTCAATTGGAATATCAGCACCAATACACAAATATCTACTTGTGTGGAGGGGCTCTTTTGTATACACTCCACTTTTACATGGATTAGGGGTGCAGGACTCTTGTGAAAATGGAAAAAAAATGTCTTAAAAACACCCCTTTTTACCTGAGAGTAAGCCTATCTAGAAATTTCTAGGTCCTCCAGAGCAACACTGTGCTCCACTTCCAGCAAAGGATTTAGAGATCCTGGAAAGTGCATATTAACAACTCCATATCTAATCAAATATAAAATGTTAAAACTACAAATAGCCCACCTTTATGCCTAAAGTTTGGATGTTTTAGTACAAAGACATAGGGTGGTGCAAAGATGTGAGTTAACTCTAACCTTATTGTTGTAAAGTTTTACACATAAGTAGCATATGACTAGAACTTTTAGCTATGGTATATATATGTCCCCATTTATTTCTTTTTTCTTTAAAATTTGCTTCTTTCTGGAAGAAAATCTTAGCATATTGAATCCATCTCCAGGCAGCCATATTCATATGGTGGAAACATATGCATTGCTACAGACTGAAGAAATATAACATCACAATAGAGGGCAAAAGAGGTTGTAACTTCACATGAGTTTTGCATCTGCTAATGCACATGTACAGGTGCAAATGTGGAAATGATTATAATTTAAACAAGATGAGAATGTATCTCAGTTTAATGGCTCCCTTCTGTTATTATTCCAATTTCCTCGCCATATGTTAGCTGTTTATAAACAACTCCATGACTCTAAATCTCAATTTCTTATGCTTTTCCCCCTTCTGGCTGGGAATGATAGGAATTGTTGTTTACCCAATTTGGTAAAGTACTACAACATTGCATATACTATGTATTCCAATGCAATTAAGTTCTCTTCCCAGTTTGACTAGAACAAGGGAGTAAGAGAGAAGACCTTCTGACTATTGATTCGGCCAAGGAGGTTGTCCTGCTCATCCCACAGTGTTAAATCCACCTGTTCAGAAAGTATTTCATCTTCTGAGACTGGATTTCATTACCTGCCTGCCATTGTTGTGATGTGTCTTCAAGTTGGCTCCAATTTATGGTGAATCTGACACAGGGTTTTCTTAGCAAGATATATTCAGAGGAGGTTTATCATTGCCTTATTCTCGAGCTAAGAGAATGTGACTTGCCTGAGTGAGTTTCCATGGCTGAGTGAGGATTCAGACCTTAATCTCCCAGATTTCTATTTCTGGTTACTCATTCTTCAGTGCTGGCTTTTTAATATCATCTGTTATATTTAGCACTGCAACTGTTTTAAAGTTGTCTTATGGATGACATGTATATTTCTTCTATATTGCTAGGTTTGTTGTTTGAATGGTATTTTATGATTCTTGAAACCTTCTTTTAAGTACAAGAAGAAAAACAGGGTATAAATATTTTAAACAAAACAGATTCAATTTCTCATGAATCAAAGTATGGTTGCTAAATATAGGAGTTAAAGATATTTAAATGTAAACAGTTCTCTTTCAAGACCAATAGAATGGCAACTAAAACCATCACATCCTGAAGTACAATCTGCAGAGAATTATTCAAAATGACATGTCACATTTATTAGAAATAAGCAAAAGCAGAATAATTACCCTTACCTTAAATAAATTTAAATGCATATATGAAATGACTGGTAGTATATCAGTAGCAGACTAGCAATTAACCAGGTTCTGGTATGCAAGCACAACAGTAATGGCCAAATGCAGACAGCATAACAGTTTTGCAAAAGTCTTTGCATGACACAAAATGGTGACTCCAATGGAAAGATCAAGGAGACATTTTGTGAGACCAAATCAGTGCTTGAAGGCTTGAGTTGCCAGGACTGAGTGGGATATGAGGGAGAAAGTTATGCCTTCCCTAGTTTCCTTTGGTCTCTCTCCTCTTTTTTTGATAATAATAATAATAATAATAATAATAATAATAATAATAATAATAATAATAACTTTATTCTCCAATATATCACACAGAGTCCTAGACACTTGAGAAGTATGTAATGTGTGATCAAATACAAAAGCCAGCATTGTGACCTTGTTTGCTGAGTACTAATATTGTTATGTATCACATAATAACTTTATTCTTATACCCCACCACCATCTCCCCAAAGGGACTCGGGGTGGATTACAAGTGGGACTAAAAGTAAAAAAAAAAAGCAAAGATAATCAATAAAACCAAAAATATTAAAATAGGAGCATCATAAAATGCAACAGCCAATATATAACAGACTAACATAACTAAATAGAACAGATTACATTGGAGTTCCATCAGACCAGGTTCAACAAAAACAGTGACCAAGATTTCTAAAATGGGCATGACCAAGCTTTAAAAGAGCTGCACAAGGGGTAGTGCAAATAGTGTACTGTAGGGCGAGGGAAGTGGATGAAGTGCAAAAAGAGCACTATCTGGCGACTTAGGGACTGGGAATGTATAACTAGGGACTAACCATTCAATCTCAAATGCTTGCTGGAACATCCAGGTTTTCAAATCCCTACAAAAAGAGGACAGTGTGGGGGCTTGCCTAATCTTCCTGGGGAGAGTGTTCCAAAGCAGGGGAATTTGTGGCTAAAACTTGAGTCAAAGTGATACTTCTATATTTAATCAAGTACTTCTTTTAATATTTGTAAATTAAAGCATCCTCTGTAAGTCTCCCTCTCTGTCGGAGCTGTGTGCAACAGTTGAATTACCTAATACAGTAATGGTTTTAATAATGACAGAATGAGACAGTGTGCCAGCTTGTATTCTACTTGAAAATATTATACAGTTATTACGAAATAAATGAAAATAAATATGTTTGGGAATATACTACTTCAGCTAACAAGGTGGGGATTTCATGGATCTTAGTGGAGGCAATATTCCCAAACCCATCTGGTTGGTTAAGATAGGGACAGCTTGACTTTCTGATAGTTGAATAGTCAAAATTGTTAAAAATATTGTATAAAAAACGACTGCATGCTATGTGTATAATGGAATATATAAAATACAAATGGAATTTGTGTTTAAAGTAGGGTCATGTCTCCAAAATGTAAAATTATGTATGTATATGCAAATACAAGTATTCCAAAATTTGAAAACATCTGAAATGGGTCAGATTAGGAATATTTAAACTTTTTTATCCTTTCAAAATGATGCACAAATTAGTTTAGGTGTCTCTTGTGTCACTTTGTGTAATTTTGTCTTCTTCCTTCTGCAGTGGCTACGTCTTTGATTATGATTACTACAGAGATGATTTCTATAATCGGTATGTGTAATTTATATTTCTGCTTTAGATATATATATAAAGTATACTTGTAATATGTCTTGATTAGTAGATCAGAACAGTTTCCTTTATGAAATCTTTTTCCAGACAATGGGGAGGATATTTATTTGAACTGAAGAGAATATACAATTTTAAAAGAACAGAACAATTAAAACCACACAAAGTAAATATTAAAATGGAGTTTAATTAATCATAGTATATTAAAAGTTCAGAATTATATTTAATGAAATACAGTTAAAATATTTAAACATTATTGAAAATGAGTAAGTTTAAAAATAAGAGAGTTTGTCTTACTAATTACATGAAGGAAAACAATTAGAATTTGTCACCTGAACACAACAGCCAACCACATACATAGCTCATGTTAATTCTTTTGTTAAATTTTATATTTTTTTATAAATATTTTAAGAGGATATCCCATTGATAGTCACTTCATGTAGAACTAGTTTTGGTTCAAATCACTGTATAAATTTACAACTTCTTCACTGTATGTGTATTCCAAAGTAATACCCTCACAAGTTCAATGAACTGGAAATGCATTTTGTTGTTATTGTGTGTCTTTGAGTCATTTGCAATATATGCTGACCTCAATACAAAGCTATCATCTATCACCTTCCAGTTCGAATTCTAATAACCTAGTCTTTTGTGTGTCCAGGTAAGAATCTCTCATTCAGTATGAGCCATGGATTGAGGTTCCAAGTTTTAGCCTGCCACTTCTGGACTCTCACTCACTGAGGTGTTCCTGCGAGTTTCTCTGTAGATTTTAGATAGCTGTTTTTTGATTTAAGGCATTGGTGTGCTGGTTGATATCCAAACAGAGGATAACTGTGCTTGTGATGGAGGTGGGAGCGAGAGGAGGGCCTCCCTGGAGGATCTTAGAGTTCGCACTGGTTCATAGATGGAGATGTGATCGTAAAGAGAGGCAGGGCCCGAATCGTTTAGGGCTTTATAGGTCATTACCTGCACCTTGAATTTGGCTCTGCAACTTATCGGTGAAAAGCACACAACTTCATTTTAGATGAATTAGGAATCAGCTGGTTTTCCCTGTAATAGGCAGTAAGAGCACCTAAAACTTCGAGGAGCTTCTGTTCCAAAGCTCCCTGCTTGGGTGGTGATGGCATGATCATCAGCATAGATAAAACTCTCTGTCCCTTCTGGCAGTGGCTGATCATTTGTGTAAATATTAAACATTAATGGAGCAAGCATGCTCCCCTGAGGCAGGCCGTTCTTCTGTTTTCGCCATCTGCTTCTCTGGCCTTGGAACTCAACAAAAAGCTCATGTTATGTAGCAGATTTCCTATGAAGCAGATAACATTTCTGAAAAGTGAAATTAATCAATCATCCTTTAATGAAAAAGTTTCAGCCAATCCATGATTCAGGACTAGTTTTCTTATTACCAGATACATTACCATGAAGTTAGAAAAGTAAGAAGTTGAAACTATGTGTTTGTAGGTGTAAGTGTGTACTCATGAATATTAAATCCACAATGTACCTGCACAGTTGAAATGAAAATATGTAAAGCAGAGTTATCATATCACAAATAAAGACAGTCTGTTAAAATATTTTTCATGGAAATGAGGACATTGCACTTGGTTATGTCAGAAATGCAGATACAAACTCTTCATGCACAAAGGTCCTTGGAATCACGTTTAATGTTGGTGTAAGCTGTTGAGATTTTCATTTTTTTTTAAATCTCCTAGAAAGGAGGATATAAAGCCTACGAGATTTCCTTGACACGATAGCAGTATAAAGTACCAAGGCACTTCTATTTTCATTTTTTTAAAGGTTGTTTGATTACCATACCCGGGTCCCTGCACCGCCTCGCGCTGTAATTCCATTAAAACGTCCCCGGGTAACAGTAACAGCAACTCGCCGAGGAAAGGGGGTGTTTTCCATGAAAGGTGGATCAAGATCTACATCAAGTGGAACTTCCTCATCAGGATCAAAATGTGAGTTCAGCATTGTATCAAGGAGAGTAGTCAGTATGCATCTGTGTTGCATAATGCAATGTGTGTCGATATCTAGTTCATGCCATCACTGCAGCTTTAAACACACAGCAATATTTAGATAGATGGACTTTAAAAAAAAACAACCCTATGTTAATTGTAATGAAAAAGAGATTTCAGAGGGCAGTTTGTAGCTCTCTATATGTTGAATTGCAAGTGCTTTTCTAACTAGGGTTATTGAGAGTTAAAGTCCAGAAAGATCTCGAGGGTCCAAAGGTGCCCACTTTTCATGAACAACAATCTAGTTAGTACCGTTTGGTTATGGGCATGTTCTTCAAACCATCATTTCTGCTAGTTCTAAATGTGTGAATAGATTTTCCAAATACATGTTTCTTTGCATACTGGATTTTGCTTTCCTCCAAAGATCTTGGAAAGTGCACATGAAATCATCACATTTGACACTTATAACAACTTTTGGACCTACTCAGAGGTCCAGAGGTTGTGATAACAGCCTTGTCAGGTGAATAAATGCTGCCTATGAGTTGGAATTTTGCCATTATTGCTCCCCAGGAATCTGTCATATAAAAACTATCTTGTGTGTTTAATGGCTGTATGATTTCACCTTTGTTGTTCCCAACACAATGAGGCAATTGTAAAGAAAGGTTAGAAAGCAAATAAAATGAAGAAAATTTGTCAGTCCTTTGTATTTTAAAGAAAGCTTTATATTTGAAATTAAATCCTTTAAAAAACATTGTGCTAATTAAAGAAAACAGTGAAGTTTATAAAATGGGAGGGGTTATTTTATTGTCTCAAGACTGGCTCTACCTCAGCCAGGAAAAAGCAAAAAGCAGTGATGCTTTATTATTTCCTTATTACTGCTGCATTTTTGTGTCAAAAAGATGAGAAGGAGAAGATGTAATGTTAGAAATGCAGATACAAACTCTTCATGCACAAAGACCCAGTCGAAGGCTTTCATGACCGGAATCACTGGGTTGTTGTAGGTTTTTTGGGTGGTATGGCCATGTTCTAGAAGCATTCTCTCCTGATGTTTCACCTGCATCTATGGCAGCAATAATCAGAGGTTGTGAGGTCAGGTCTCACAACCTCTGAGGATGCCTGCCATAGATGCAGGCAAAATGTCAGGAGAGAATGCTTCTGGAACATGGCCATACCGCCTGAAAAACCTACAACAACCCAGGAGAAGATGTAGTTTTTTTATTTGGTTTTGTTGTGGGTTTTTTTCCCCCGGGGAACACTAGCCTGACCAGTGTTAAGCACCTTGAGGGAGAGGGAGTGACAGCTTTTGCTGCTTCCTTTCTTGGGCATAGCCCTGACTTGATTCCCTTTTGTTTCTTAACCATTAGCTCCAATCTCAACATATTTTAATGACATAAATATATTCACAAAAGGCACATCTAGAAAATCTCTCATCAACTAATGCCATTAAGAAATGTTATCATTTTCTCAGGAATAGATACTATTGGACTACAGGTTTTATACTCTTAGCAGACATACCTTGTGACATTCTTCCCCGATGTGGCGATAAAAAATGTTATTTCCCTTTAAATCAAAGCAATTGTTACTAAAGTGATACCTAATTTTGTCCTTTGGGCAGTGCATTTCCTCTTCTTTCATAAAGTGTCACTATTCTTCCTGTAAGAAAGCCACTAAGAAGACTATTGTGCTGATACATTGTGAAGCGGCTGTAGTAGACTAATGCTACTGAAAGACATTGCTTTGATATGCCAAAGCAATATGTACGTACCAAAGGGAACACAATGTGTCCTTTCAGAAGCTTGCCTTGTCATTGCAGAATATTAGAAACTCTTCACAAAACATTGTGTTTTCCTGAATTGATGGAAACCTAACCTTCACGCACTGGAATAGAACATTTTAGTCCTCCCAAATCAATGTTCTTGTGTAATTTTTACAAAACAAGACTTGCAGTGCAGGGCAGTCTTTGCATTGTGACCTAAAGAGGAAGGAGAAAGAAAAGAAGTGTTGCTGTTTCAGTGACATTGTCTGTAAGTTACCTTGAGATGGTTTGGAGGACAGGTTTACAGAAGGGGAGAAGAAGGAGGCACCTACAGGTGACACATGGTCTCCTTACCATGCTTTTGAGGTCCCCAAAATTTCCCAATTATGCCATGTGTTTGCCTTCACAGGCTATTTTAGGCCCAGGAAAGATCTGTTTTGCAACAGGAAGTGACGCAAGACCTCCAAAGGTCTCATCTGGGCCAATAACGTTTCAACCAAGTTGCATCCCAGCACAGCTAGAGGGACCTTTGGAGTTATTTGAAAGTGAAAAACTTTGGAGGCAATGGAAACACAGTGGGGAAATCCTATAGAGGACACTTTCCCAAACCTAGACATTACTCATACCTGCTTTCCACCAGTGAAGGCTAATCAAGACAACTCCCAGAAGCACTAATCACACTGGCAGCAAAAAAAAAAAAAAAAAAACCTGTAAAAGAAGAATAATAAAAGATGGTTCTATTTTGGAAAATGTTTTTTAAAAATTGAAAATCCATCTGTCAGGTCTGATGCTCACATGTTCTTTTTTAAAAAGCAGAGGGTAATGAGAGGACTAATTTCCTCAGGAAGTCTCTATATAATCACTGCTGGAGATAGATTTGCATCCTGAAGCAGGAAAAGCATGTGAAAAGCATCCAAAGGTTTTACCTTTGGTCGGAGACAATAAGTCCATTCAAAAATTTAATCCCAGTTTAACAGTATAGGCTACATTTAGTATTCCTCAAATTCACAATATATCTTATATGGATTTTGAAATGTGATATGTACAACTGTTTCCTCCTACAAAAACAAATTAAATGGTTAAAGCAAAATAATCTCTGGGCCCTTCCATACAGGGCCCATAACATGGGAGCTTCCACGGTTTTATGAGAGGCATTGAAACAACATCTCCCATAAAACTGAATTAATTCAGGACAAAGCAAGAAAACCCTGCTTTGAAACGAATTAACTTGACACCTGGAAAGGCCTAAATCTTTCTTAAGACCCAGATCTTTGCAGGTGTGGGCCCAATCCACACAGCTGTTTCAGGTTTTTCTGGGCTACTGGAGCTCAGAAAAAAACAAGACAGCAACCAACCGCTTCCCAGACCCCCCCCCCCCAAGAAAAGAGCTAAATATTTTTTTAAAAAAAAAAACTCACCTGGCTGCCATTAAACAGCTGCCAGAGCCCTCCTGGTACGCAGAAATTATGTACCAGGAGAGTACAGGGAGAGGGAGAAGATCGCTCCTCACCCACCCKCCCCCCCCTCCCCCAACACATAATTTTTACGTGCCAGGAGAAATCCAACAGCAGTTTAATGGCTGCCAGGTAAGTAATTTTTTATTTTTAGCCCTTTTTTGAGGGGTTTTGTTTGGTGTCTGGGTGCCCTGGCAGAAAGTCCAGCAGGGCATCGAGACACTCCCCCCCCCCCAGGAAAGTGTGGGTTTTGGGGGGATGTGTAGGGACATTTACTGGTGTCCAACTGGGTTTCTTAAACCTGGTTGGGCACATGTTAAAGCCCAGTGTGCAATGGGCCTCTGTGAACTCTCTGGTTTTTTTCCCCATTGGGAACTGGGACATTCCTGCTGTGTCTGTTCTTGACAATTATTACTGTGCCTCTGACAAGTATTTATCCATGAGTTTAGTGTTTTCACATTACTATAACCAGAAATATTCTAGTGGTGAATCTTGTATTACTGCTTATGATATAGATTTTACATTTATTGGTGTTTCAAAGAGATGGACCGAGTTTTAAATCGCTATATCTCTCCAACCATAACAACACCAAGTCCTTTGATGGAGTACTTCCTCCTTACTACTTGAAAGGGCAGGGCATAGATTTTCAACTGATTTCCATGAAATGCCTTTCTCAGAGCACAAACAGCCCTAGTTGTTTATTTGTAACAAGGCAGTGTCAGGTATTATCAAAATGGAGTTTATTAGGATAACTAAAGCAAATCAGCACATATCTGAACCCTTTGAACAATATCAGCAGAGTGGTTAGTAAAACTTGTCAACTTGATAACTCAGTAAACTGTAACTTTTTGTGTGATTTTAACATGCTGCCATTGTGAAATATAGTGTTTTCTTTATTTATTTACAGTATTTATATTCCGCCCTTCTCAGGGGACTCAGGGCGGATTACAATGCACATATACATGGCAAACATTCAATGCCAATTAAACATACAACATATATAGACAGATGCAGAGGCAATTTAACATTCCAGCCGAGCCCAAACTTTTTCCAGCTTCATGAGGGTATTCTGGATTCTGGCTTGATTCCAGCCACAGGGGGAGCTGCCACTTCACCGTCCATTGTGACACCAAGTCCTTTGATGGAGTACTTCCTCATTCTTCTGCAATATTCGGCTGGAATATTTTTGTGGTGTTGTAAATTAGTTAAATTAGCCTCCCCACATAAGCGGGACATAAATTTCCTACTTGACAGATGCAACTGTCTTTCGGGCTGCATATGTCAACAGCAAGCTAGATGAATGGCTGGAAGCTCACTCTGACCCAGGCTAGCTTCAAACTCATAATCTCTCAATCAGTAGTGATTTAATGCAGCTAACTCTCAGCTAACTGCATGACAGCCTGGTTTTAAAACTAGGTCCATCATTTCATAACACCCTGTATTTGGGCATGGTTAAGCAACCCCCCAATTTGTTTTTTTTTTCTGCATTTAGTAAATATGCTAACATTAAAGACTGGTTTCTAAGCAGTTGTTCATAAATTGCACAGAAATCAATCACTTTTTTCTTTCTTGATTTGCACTGAAAATATGTCACAGCAGAGCTTCCCCGCAGTGAGATCTTTGATCTTCCAAAGTCATTAGGAGTTCACAGTGGGTGAGATTTGCAAGTCCCACTTCCTATATTAAAATAAAAGCAGGAATGATGGCCATTTGCCTGTCATTTTCTTCTTCTTTGTGACAGATGAACTCACTCCTGAAGCAAAAGCTGAGTGCTATTAAATTTAGACTCTGCT